AAGGTTGGGAAAAATCATATCACTCATATGGACTTCGGAAACAAGCAGGAGTGTCCATACTCATATCAAATAAAATAGATTTGCAGCCAAAGTTAATCACAAGGGATAAAGAGGGACACTACATACTGCTGAAGGGAACCATACACCAACAAGACATAACAATCATAAATATATATGCCCCAAACAATGGTCCAGCTATGTTCATCAAACAAACTCTTCTCAAGTTTAAGAGTCTAATAGACCACCATACAATAATCATGGGAGACTTCAACACACCTCTCTCACCACTGGAAAGATCTTCCAAACAAAAGTTGAATAAGGAAACTATAGAACTCAATAACACAATTAATAACCTAGACTTAATTGACATATATAGAATATACCACCCAACATCAAGCAGTTACACTTTTTTCTCAGCAGCACATGGATCCTTCTAAAAAATAGATCATATATTATGTCACAGGGCAACTCTTAGACAATATAAAGGAGTAGAGATAATACCATGCATCTTATCTGATCATAATGGAATGAAACTGAAAAGCAACGATAAAAGAAGGAAGGAAAAATCATGTATCACTTGGGGAATGAACAATAGGTTACTGAATGATCAATGGGTTATAGAAGACATCAAGGAGGAAATTAAAAAATTCTTAGAGATAAATGAAAACACAGACACAACATATCGGAATCTATGGGACACATTGAAAGCAGTTCTAAGAGGAAAATTCATTGCTTGGAGTTCATTCCTTAAAAAAAGAAAAAACCAACAAATAAATGATCTCATACTTCATCTCAAAATCCTAGAAAAAGAAGAGCAAAACAACAGCAAAAGAAGTAGAAGGCAAAAAATAATTAAAATCAGAGCTGAAATTAATGAAATCGAAACAAAAGAAACAATTGAAAAAATTGACAAAACTAAAAGTTGGTTCTTTGAAAAAATAAATAAAATCGACAGACCCTTAGCCATGCTAACGAAGAGAAGAAGAGAGAGAACTCAGATTACTAGCATATGGGATGAAAAAGGCAATATCACAACAGACACTTCAGAAATACAGAAGATAATCAGAAATTATTTTGAATCCTTATACTCCAATAAAATAGAAGATAGTGAAGGCATCGATAAATTTCTTAAGTCATATGATCTGCCCAGATTGAGTCAGGAGGATATAGACAACCTAAACAGACCAATATCAATTGAGGAAATAAAAGAAACCATCAAAAGACTACCAACTAAGAAAAGCCCAGGACCGGATGGGTATACAGCAGAGTTTTAGAAAACCTTTAAGGAGGAACTAATACCAATACTTTTCAAGCTATTTCAGGAAATAGAAAAAGAGGGAGAACTTCCATATTCATTCTACGAGGCCAACATCACCCTGATTCCTAAACCACACAAAGACACTTCAAAGAAAGAAAACTACAGACCAATATCTCTAATGAACCTAGATGCAAAAATCCTCAATAAAATTCTGGCGAATCGGATACAAAAACATATCAAAAAAATTGTGCACCATGATCAAGTAGGATTCATCCCTGGGATGCAAGGCTGGTTCAATATACGGAAAACAATAAATGTTATTCACCACATCAGTAGACTTAAAAACAAGAACCATATGATCATCTCGATAGATGCAGAAAAAGCATTCGACAAAGTACAACATCCCTTTATGTTCAAAACTCTAGAAAAACTAGGGATAACAGGAACATACGTCAATATTGTAAAAGCAATCTATGCTAAGCATCACGCTAGCATCATTCTAAATGGAGAAAAATTGAAGGCATTCCCTCTAAAATCCGGAACAAGAGAGGGATGCCCTCTCTCACCACTTCTGTTCAACATAGTTCTCGAAACACTGGCCAGAGCAATTAGACAGACGAAAGAAATTAAAGGCATAAAAATAGGAAAAGAAGAACTTAAATTATCACTATTTACAGTTGACATGATTCTATACCTAGCAGACCCAAAAGGGTCTACAAAGAAACTATTAGAGCTAATAAATGAATTCAGCAAAGTGGCAGGATATGAAATCAACACGCATAAATCAAAGGCATTCCTGTATATCAGTGACAAATACTCTGAAATGGAAATGAGGACAACCACTCCATTCTCAATATCCTCAAAAAAAAAAATACTTGGGAATCAAACTAACAAAAGAGGTGAAAGATTTATACAATGAAAACTATAGAACCCTAAAGAGAGAAATAGAAGAAGATCTTAGAAGATGGAAAAATATACCCTGTTCATGGATAGGCAGAGAAATGCAAATCAAAACCACTCTAAGATACCATCTCACTCCAGTAAGATTGGCAGCCATTAGGAAGTCAAACAACAACAAGTGCTGGCGAGGATGTGGGGAAAAGGGTACACTTGTACATTGCTGGTGGGACTGCAAATTGGTGCAGCCAATTTGGAAAGCAGTATGGAGATTTCTTGGAAAGGTGGGAATGGAGCCACCATTTGACCCAGCTATTCCCCTTCTCGGTCTATTCCCTAAAGACCTAAAAAGAGCATGCTACAGGGACACTGCTATATGGATGTTCATAGCAGTACAATTCACAATAGCAAGACTATGGAACCAACCCAGATGCCCTTCAATAGACGAATGGTTAAAAAAAATGTGGCATGTATACACAATGGAGTATCTGCATTAAAAAATGACAAAATCATAGAATTTACAGGGAAATGGATGGCATTAGAGCAGATTATGCTACGTGAAGCTAGCCAATCCCTAAAAAACAAATGCCAAGTGTCTTCTTTGATATAAGGAGAGTAACTAAGAACAGAGTAGGGACGAAGAGCATGAGAAGAAGATTAACATTAAACATCGATGAGAGTTGGGAGGGAAAGGGAGAGAGAAGGGAAATTGCATGGATATGGATGGAGACCCTCTGGGTTATACGAAATTACATAGAAGAGGAAGTGAGGGGAAAGGGAAAAATAATACAAGGGGGAGAAGTGAATGACAGTAGAGGGGGTAGAGAGAGAAGAGGGGAGGGGTGGGGAAAGGAGAGGGGGGGATAGTAGAGGATACGAAAGGCAGCAGAATACAACACACACTAGTATTGCAATATGTAAATCAATGGATTTGTAACTGATGTGATTCTGCAATCTGTATACGGGGTAAAAATGGGAGTTAATAACCCACTTGAATCAAAGTGTGACATGTGATATATCAAGAACTATGTAATGTTTTGAACAACCAACAATAAAAATTAAAAAATAAATAAATAAATAAAATTCAAAGTCTTCTGCCTGGTCTTGTAAGTTTCTTCTATTCCTCCAATTCTATAATCACTTGGTTTATTTTATTATTATTATTTTTTTAGCTATTTGTTTGTTGTTTTGTAAATAATGTTTTTTGCCTTTTTCTCTACTCCCCCCTCAACTCCATATTTTACGTCTTAGAATAATTGTCTATTTACTGTCTTGTACCACTCCTCCCTCTTACCCCCAGCCCATTACTTTAACCCATTAGCAGTCACTCACAAAAGCTCAATAAGGTGAAGACCCATAAAAAGAGGTTGAATGACTGGATGTTTTTATACTTTAAAGTTGTTTCAAAGTTGGAAGTAGCTTCAGTGGAGACTAAAGAGCCTGAAAAAATGATTGAAAAAAATGAGGCCATCATTTCCCAATCTCAGAGTATTTCTCAGAGCATGTGTATCCTATAAGATATTGGATTAAATATATTAGAGAATGATGCAGATTATATTTCTACCTTGGATCGACTTGGATATTTGCAATTAATAAAGACTTCTACAATTCCTCTGTACAAAATCTTTTTTGTTTGTTTGTTTTAAATCTAGCATTTTCCTAATATATTTTATTATGGAAACTTTTAAAATAGGGTACCTGTAATTTCTTTTAGGTTACTAATAATATTTTAGATTTGAGAAATGTTAAATTTGGCAGGCTTATGTCCTTTATTTCCCTTGGGTCTAATTAATATGATTTAAACACATAATTACTTGATTCTCAAGGCATATTCAGAGGAATTCTGGCTATTTATAGTCAGAACAGAGAACCTTAGGGAAAATAGAATAATTTTCAAATATTTGAAGGTTCTGATGGAAGAGGGATTAAAAGTATTATCTTTTAAACAAGAGACTAATAGCCAGAACCAGGGAACAAAGTTTTAGGTCGGCAGTTTTTGACTTAGAATAAGTATATCTTTCTAGTTACGAATTTTCAAAAATTGGAAGGTAAGTTTTCAGGAAAATATCTGTAGGGATGCTATAAGAGAAGTTTAGCATATCAGATATAGGATATATTGGAGTTATTTCTTGTGACAGTTTGAAAACCTTTAAACTCAGTTTTTGAGATAGCTATCAAGTTGGAATTTATATTCCTTGATTCCTTTCTAAATCTGTAAATCTATATCTTGCTCTAAAATCTCAGTGAAGAAACCAAAGTATGTGGTGTGTTGTATAATTAAGTGTTTTTATTTGATGGCTATTTATTCATTTATTTTATTCATTTAAACACGGGAAATTGAACCCAGGGCCTCATGTGTGCTAGGCAAGTGCTCTACCGTGGAACTATATCAGTAGACTTTATTTTTTTGGAGCAGTTTCCCATTCACAGAAAAATTAAGCAGGAAGTTTGCAGTATTCACATAAACCTGTTGTTTCCTCATGGCCACAGCCTCCCCTATTCTACATTCCATGCTATAGTGGTAGAGTTTACAATTGATGAACTTACAATGACTTTCACTGGCACCCAAAGTTTGTAGTTAGAAAGAGGTTCATTCTTACTTGATGGTAGCTTGAAACAAAACATAAACATTCTGTTCATCTTGAAGAGAGTGGTTGTCAGTCAGTTTTTGCTGTCTAGTTTATCCTTTTCAGATTTAGCGACCTAAAAAGAATCAGTGTCACCTGTTTTGAAAGAGTTATCATGGTTGCATGGTTGGGGAGAGTTTTTTTTTTTTTTTTAATCTTAAATGTTTACAAATGTTTTATTTTGCTGGCTAACTATTTTTTTTTCTTTTCCTTCTAAGTACCAAAAGAATTGGTGGAGCTCCATTTGAAGTTGATGAGGAAGATTGGAAAATCTGTTACAGCAGACAGATGGGAAAAATACTTGATCAAGGTAACTGTGTAAATTCCTTTTTTTATTATTGAAATAATGCTCTATCTAGCATAAATTTATGGTTGCATTCCATAATGTTTAATTTTTAAACATTAATAGTTTTCGTTCAAAATTCTGAGTTATTGTTATTGTAATTGTGATTGTCCTCTTTTACTGCTATAAGTAGTAGTCTTGAATCTTAAAATCAGGTTTCAGAGTTATTGTGTCTCTTTTGTGCCTATCCTAGTGCTAAGGATTTTTCATATATTCTCTCACTCTTTCAAATCATCCTGATCAAATAAATACACATAAGGCCCAGGGAAGTTGTTGCTTTTGCTTAAAATCACCCAGTATGTATAGGCAGAGCTAAGATTTTTCTGTGACTTGAAAGGTAAAATGTCTGAAGCCCATTAGAATAGTATGTCAAGCTTTTAAATTGTTCACCAGCCACATATGTTATTAGTAAGGACAACTCAGGCAATCTAAATGAGCTTTAGGATGGACCCTATCAAAGGGAAGACCAAGTAACATACCAGACTATTAGGCTGTAATTGTAGGTGATTAAAAAATAATTTTCCTGCAGGGTGTTGGCACACCTATAATCCTGACTACTTGGAGGCTGAGACAGGAGGATTGCAAGTTCAAGGCTAGTCTTGGCAATTTAGCAAGATCCTGTCTCAAAACCAAAAAGGGATAGGGGTATAGCACAATGGAAAAGCACTCCTGGATTTAATCCCCAGCACTTTTTTTTTTTGCTGTGGGGATTGAACATAGGAGCATCTTACCAGTGAGTTACATCTCCAGTCCTTTTTTATTTTTAATTTTTGATACAGAGTCTTATTAAGTTTCTGAGGTTGGCTTTGAACTTGTCATCCTCCTGCTTCAGGCTTGAGATGCTGGGATCACAGCAACTGTACCTGGCTTCCCCAGCATTTAAAAAATAATTGCTATGTTTATATATATATACATTTTGATATCTGTTCCCTTTTTTGGAAAGTATATGCTTGTAGGGTGCTATGAAAATAGGAGCTAACAGGAACAAGAATTTCCTTTTTTTAATTGTAAATATTATATGTGCATTTCTAGCTACCTTTGCAGTATAATATGTCTTCTAGATTAAGTGACATAAAACAATAATCTTTCTAATCAGCTCAGTGATCAGGACTCTAAAAGGGTTACTTTTACTTGTGTATTCTATTGGTTGAAGCAGTCACAGCTCTGCCTAGTCACGGGGAGGGTACATAGGCTTCCAACTCTCTCTCTCTCTCTTTTTTTTTAAATACCTTTATTGTATTTATTATATTTATTTATTTATTTTTATGTGGTGCTGAGGATTAAACCCTGAGCCACAACCCCAGTCCCATAGGTTTCCAACTCTAGGATTCTAACTCTAAATGTTAGGAATGTCTAACTTTTGAAACCCAATATAAAATGTATTCCAATTACTTTTTCACAGGTTTGAAGAACTGCAGAATTGACTTAGCATTTCCGAAATTTGATGCTGTGTGATTTTCTAAAAGAGTGATTGTTTATAAAATTAAAATATTACATATTCAGTTAAATATGTTAAACTGAGATGGGTTAGGTGACTAAAGCCTATAATTCTAGGTGAGCTGAGACAGGAGAATCTCAGGCTTGAGGCCAGCCTCTGAAACTTAGCAAGACCCTGTCTCAAAAAATAAAAAGGGCTGGGCTGGGGTTATAGCTCAGTTCGTAGAGTGCTTGCCTGGCACTTGTGAAGCACTGGGTTCAATTATCAGCACCACATTAAAAAATAATAAAATAAAGATATTGTGAACATCTACTATAAAAAATATTTAAAAATAAAATAAAAGGGGCTGGGGATGTGGCTTAGTGGTTAAGCATCCCTGGGTTCAATCCCTAGTAACAACAACAACAAAAAAATCTGAATAATAAATGAATACATTTTTAACTATTAAAAGTGCTTGTTCAAATGCCATTGAAGTGGCTATTTTGATGTTAACAAAATGATTTATAAATGAATCAAGGTTTTGGAGTTTTAAAAGAGAGCTGGAATTAAGGACTTTGGTTTCAACATGTTTAAGAGGACTATAAAGGATGTAATCCCTGTGAATAAATATTAATTTTGTGTGTGTGTGTGTGGGGGGGCTACCAGGGATTAAACGCAGGGGCACTTGACCACTGAGCCACATCTCCAGCCCTATTTTGTATTTTGTTTAGAGACAGGGTCTCATTGAATTGCTTAGCACCTTGCTTTTACCCAGTCTGACTTTGAACTCTAAATCCTTCTGACTCAGCCTCCTGAGCCACTGGAATTACAGGGGCGTGTTACTGCACCCAGCTAGTAAAGGTTTTCTTTTTCTTTTTTAAAAAATATTTTAAAAATTGTAGGTGGTCACAATACCTTTATTTATTTATTTTTTATGTAATACTTAGGATCAAACTTAGTGCCTCATAGGTTCGAGGCAGGTGGTCTACCACTGAGCCACAGCCTCAGCTCCTAGTAAAGGTTTTCTAATTTTTATTTTTTTACTATTCTGAGAACTGAGATAGAAATATCTTGTATACTAATTCTAGCTCAACTTAACAATCTTTAGGATCATGTATAATTTATTTTGCCATCCTGGGTCTCAGTTCCTTGTGAAATGTGAGAATTGAGATGAGATGATTTTATAAGACCCTCCACTATTTTGATTACGATTCTTGGTCAGTGTTTTTGAATTGAGGTATATTTCTATACCATTAATTTACTTTCAGTGGACTTTAGTATATTCAGAGTTGTGAGCCATCATCATTTTCCAAAACATTTCTATCATTCCAAAGAGAACTGCATGTTTATTAGCAGTTACTCTCCCTTGAGCACCTAAAAACCATGAATGTACTTTATGACTCCCTGAATTTTCTATTCTGGATTTTTTAAAAAAAGAAATAGGATGATACAATATGTAGCCCTTTGTGTTTGCTTTCTTTTACTTTACATTTACATTAATGGCATTTAGCATGTTCAGTGTTGTGTAGTCACCTCTACTACTTTGTTTCAGATCAGTTTTATCATTAAAATGAAACTGTATATCCATTAAGCACCCAGTACCCTTTACCCCTTATGCCGAGAGTGATTAATCTGCTTTAGATGGATCTGCTTTTTCTAGATATTTCATATCAGTGGAATCATATAATAGAGTCTTTTTGTCTGGGTTTTTCTTTGGTACTGGAAATTGAACCAAGGATTCTTTACCACTGAACTACAATATGTCCCTAGCCCTTTTTATGATTTATTGTGAGATAAGGTCTTGCTGAGTTGCTGAGGGCCTCATTGATTTGCTGAGACTTGCTTTGAACTTGGAATCCTCCTGCCTTAGCCTCCCAAGTTGCTGGGGTTATAGACATGCTCCAGTTTTTTGTCAGTACTGGGAATTGAACCCAGGGCCTCACACAAGATAGACAAGTTCTCTACTATTGGTCTAATTGTCTACTGGGCTAACTGAACATGCACAGTTCAGTTCGCATAATGTTTTTAAGGTTCTTTCATCTTCTGGCATGTACTGGTACTTTGTTCCTTTTTATACCTGATTAATATTTCATATGTGGATATACCATATTTTATTTATTTATTTAAAAGTTTATGGTATTTTATTTGCTTCCATCTTTTGGTTACCGTGAATAGAGATGATGTTCAAACATTTGCTACAGATTTGTGGGTATACGTGTGATTTCATTTCTTTTGAGTAACCCAAGTTAGAAGTGCTTCATCATGGTAATACCATCTTTAACTTTTGAGAGGAATTGCCGGTCTTTTTCATTACAAATTCACCATTTTACATGTCTACCAGAAATGTGTGAGGGTTCCTTTTCTATATTATTTTTTAACAATGCATCTTGTTTTTGGTACTCTGAATTGAACTCAGGGGAGCTTTGCTTCTAAGCCACATCCCTAGTCTTTCATTTTTTATTTTGAGAGAGGGTCTCGCTAAGTTACTGAGGCTGAAGTTGTAATTCTCTTGTCTGCCTCCCAGGTTTCTAGGATTATAGGTGTGTGCCACCACTTCTGCCTGGCTACCAAGACATCTCAATTTTTGTCTTTTGTTTTTATTATAACCATCCTAATTACTGTGAAGTGTCATTTTGGTTTGTACTTTCCTAAAGACTAGTGATATTGAGCATTCTTTTCATATGCTTGTTGGCCTCTGTATATCTTGTCAATTTTTGAAAAAATGTATTTTTAAATTGTAGATGGACCTTTATTTTATTTTATTTTTTTTATGTGGTGCTGAGGATTGAACCCAGTACTTCACACATGCCAGGCAAGCACTCTACTACCACTGAGCCACAACCCAGACCATCCTTGTCTAATTTTAATTGTTTAAGAGCTCTTTGTATTTTCTGTATTTTAGAACCTTCCTAGATATATGATTTGCAAATACTTTATCCCATTTGTTTCCTTTTTGTTTTCTTGAATGTGGCATTTGAAATCATGAAAGTTTTTATTTTATTTTTTTGTGATTCTGGGGATTGAACCCAGGGCTTTGTGCACATGAGTCAGGTACTCTAACAACTGAACTATATCCCCAGCCCAAAAGTTTTTAATTAAAAAAAATTTTTTTATTTATATATGACAGTGGAATGCATTACAAAGAGCACAATTTTTCATATCTCTGGTTGTATACACGGTATATTCACACAAATTCGTGTCTTCATACCTGTACTTTGGATAATGATCATCACAGTCCACCATCATTAATAACCCCATCCCTTCCCCTCCAAACTCTCTACCGTATCTAGAGTTTGTCTATTCCTCTCATGTTCTTGCTCCCTATCCCACTATGAATCAGTCTCCTTTTATCAAAGAAAACATTCAGCATTTGGTTTTTTGGGAATGGCTAACTTCACTTAGCATTATCATTTTTCTAACTCCATCCATTTAATTTTTAGTTGTAGTGGGACACAATACCATTTATTTATTTTTATGTGGTACTGAGGATCAAATCCAGGGCCTCGCACGTGCAAGGCAAGCGCTCTACTATTGAGCCACAACCCCAGCC